CCTATATGAAATGGTATTTAAGTGATTCTTGAAGTCATATTAACTGTAATTACACGAACAATAATACTTTAAGAGACAGTTTTTAATATTTTTTTCTATTAAACATGGTTATATTTTACTGTTTTGGGGAGGGGAGGGCTTCAGCCCGAAAGCCCTCCCCCTCCCGTAAATCCGCCTGTGTCTGTGAGATTTGAAAGATTGAAAAATAAAATTTCTTTAAAATTATTTAAAAGAAACTTTGTCAGAGGAAAGGCGTAAAATTGGACAAGACGTAACTCAAAATTTTGATTTGTTATTACCAAATAGATTCCACAATTTCATAGATACCAATAGTATGATAACAAGATATTAATAAATATCCAGTTCATGAAATAAACCTCAAATTAAGATGTAGCAATACTTTTTTTACCGTGTTGAAGTGATTTTTTTAATTAAGTAAATTAAAAATTTTTTTCCAATTATGTATTTTTCTAAATTATTTAATAAATAAAAATGTTTAGCAAATCAATTTTGAATCCTTCATAATGAAACCTAAAAAATGTTAAATGTGCTAATACTCTTTCGATCCACTTTAAATATAGTGGCCTCTTTTATTTATTTCTAAAATTTTGTTCACACTTTTAATTTTCATTCAAGGCACAAATACGGCAATGGTAGGTATATTATTTATTCTGTTAAATTAGCTATAAATCGATCCTAGAGTCAGGAGACCCTCCTAAGGCAGACCTAGCTTCTGTAAAGTGGGTACTTAATTGAATAATTAATCAGGGGAAAACTAGACAGTCAAGCTTCATCTTGCCTCCATCATCTCTCTGTGAAACCGTTGGCCTTGAAATGGTACTTCCACATTACTGAACCCAAGACCCTTCATAAGTTGTAGTGGTAAAGGTTTAAATAATAATAGTGTAATTTTATATTGCCAGCTGAGTTGCTTTGAACACCATCAAATCTCATATAATCATGTAATATCTAATATTGAAACTAACACAATAAGGCAATGAGAAAGTTTATGTTCTTGTAAGAAAGGGTTCAAAATATTGTTATCTGATACTGAGCCATACTGTAGTAAATCATCTAATTTAATCAGGAAATAAATTTATTTCTGAAAATATTCTAAGAAGCAATTTAAACTCTTTATGCATGTGCAAAAAGAAAAGTCAAAATCAAGGATCACCAAACAAGCACACACAGACACCACTATGCCGGCATAAGGTCATGCGTGCCCATGTTCAAAACTGTGTTCGTCTATCAAAACCTGCAATAACGATCAACACAGGAACCTCAAATACGTCTTTCTCTAAAGTACCTTTAATATGGTTTATTTTTAAAAATGAATTCTCTTTTATTGACAGTAACTATAAAAAATGGCTAAATATGAAGTTTGAAAGAATGTGATAATTGTAAACTGGATAAAAAAAGAAAAATGCTTATCTATGTTGAAAATGAATCTCCAGAAATAACTGTCAGAAGGTATACGTATAATATATCACTGGGAAGCATAGAATTTCAGAAAAAAATAATATCAAATAAATAAAGTTGTAGAAGGTAACGGAGAGTGACGTTCCAAAGCTTTAGTTTACTTTTTCTAAAATAAAATAAAAATTGGGCGAAGCGCAAAGGTGCGCAAAATTTGATGATTATTTTTTTTAAGAATATAAAAAGTGCTACAAAATGAAAAAAAAATTGTAGCGGCAGGATGTCGGGAAGGGTATTTCAACGACTATATAAGCGTTATTTATGTATTTCAAAGTATTGATCAAAGCTATTTTTTAAATGTAAGTGTAACCAACATCAAACTGGTTGAACCTAAATTAACCTAGTAAAAAAGAAAGATAATTAACTCAATTATCAAAAGCAGTCTTAAACAAAAACGCCCACACATTGATTTAGATTATAAATAAAGTAATGCTGGAATTATTTGTCAACTGGTGCGACTGAAGACCTGCTCGTCCAAATGTTCCTCTTCCGCACTCTACTGTGAGAGTTTAAACGAACTTTGGAATTTTACTAGGCCACTTTTTAGGTCACCAACTATTTATAAAAGGGATGATATATTACATTTCTCATATTTTGAAAAACATTTTTGTCCTCCTTGATCAGGGATCGACCCACTGTGGGTCAATTGGAACGAATGCTGGGACGTGTCCAATATTTTTCGATGCAGTATCACAGAAGAAATTTGGTTAACATTGGCGACCCACTGACTGTAGACTCTGCTTGTCAAGGACTTTTTCCAATATATAATCAATATATCATCACCAACGATATGAACTGTTTTCTATGAAAGTATTGTAACTCAATTTTATAATACATAGAGATATTAAAGGGTTTTTATTTGAATAGTTTAAAAATGTTGGTAAATTTTAATAAGCTCATTTCATGTTTTTAAATGTTAAATTGATTTGAGTTTATAATATAAACAAGAAAAATATATCGAAATCAGATATTTCCATTTTTCTTTTGATATTATGATAATATCAATTCCTTTGTTTCGATACAATAATAGGAAATATAGAAAGGAATAGAATAGTTTTTACATGACTCACATAATTTTTTGACTTCTAAAATCTGAAGGAAGCTAATTGTATTTTCAAATGGGAATTGTGTGTTCCATTGGTACGTATACACCCTCTTACCTGAAATAAATAAAAAACCTGGTACATTAACAAAGAAATAGGTTATTTAAATAAATTTATTCTATATACAACTTTTAAAAAAATAAATAAAAAATAAAACTTCTATATTTAAATATATTTTATGTTATTATTCAAATTTCTATCTCTTTAAATTTTAATCTAATTTTACCAGAAATACAAAATGACAACATATATTTATTTAATTATAAGTTACACAACAGACTTGACTTGACTATTACTTATTTTCAGTTTCTTAAACTTTTTATAATATTTATATTATTCTGATGAATTGAAAATGAAACAATTGATTTCCTTTATATTGGATTAAAACAATACTCCAAGTTAAAAAATAATTTGTTATTTTAATTTATTCTTAAAAGAATGCTTCTTATCACATACTATTTCTTTAAATTACAAAATAAAAGTCCTAATTTCAATGTAATTCAAACCAGATACCAAAACTAAATTTATAGAAACATAGCAGAGATGCATGGCACCCATACTTATAATTTGGCTCACAATTCTATATATAAAAATATTAATGTATTACATTTTTTTATTATAAATGTTAATATGGCATTAATGAAATGATAAACAAAAATTAAATATTACTTTTAATTATTTAATATATTTTGCCATATATTTAGAAACTTTATTATGGGATTCATGAATAAGCATGATAAAAGTGTAAGTAATTTATTACCTACTTTATTTAATAAAATAAATCCTTTTTATTTTACAATTTTAAAAACATTACATTGTTTTTTTTCTGAAATGAAATGAAACACTTTATTATTTTTCAATACAATGTCTGTACCAAATCAGAAAGTCAAGTTGCAAACCTGGAAACCAACCCATTTCCATTAAAAACTGCTTGGCAATTGTATTTAAGCTTGAATAATCCAAATATGTACTTTTAAAAAGAAAGGTATTTAACTATTTACAGTTTCATAAATTTCAACATGTTATTTGTTTTTCACTATTGCCTTGTTTAGTTAAAAATAACTTTGTGATTATTGCTTATGTATCTCTGAGGCTCCTTAGCTCTCATTTTGGTATTTTTTATATTATTATAAAGTCACTCATCCGAGAATAGATAAAGTACTATTATTATTATTATAAACCGGAATAACTAAGTACAATTTTTTAAATTATACCTGATTTTAACTAAACTTTATTTCTCTATTTTTAGGAGACACAAAAACTATGTGAATAAACGTAGAAGACCCACCTCCCAATCAAAATAAGATCCATGGCACTAAAAGAAACAATAGAAAAAATATTGGATTAAGGTAAGTAAGTATAAACATATAAATAACATTATTTAGTTTGTTGAGGATTAGGAAATAAAAATTAAAATTTAACTGAACATAGAATATGCTAATAAGTATGCATGTGGTACATATAAGTATGCATATAATAGATATTTATGAATATGTATGTAAAATTAAAACTAGCACTGACAGATTCCTGTGGGGAGGGAGGTAGGTCTTTTGGGTTGAAGCTCTCAAAATTGAAAAACAAAATTTTTTTTATTGCTCCATATTTGTTTTGTCATAGATCTGAGCTAAATACTTAAACAATTACGATATGTAAAGTTTAAAAATGATAAAGTATACAGCTATGAAATATGTCTATGCAAATATTGAAAACATTTAAAAGTTATCGCCAAAGCCATTATTTTTCCTGTGAATTTCCTCTTTTTTTTTTTTTTTAACAGTCCTTCAAGGACTACTTAAACATCATTTTGTATAGTTTCTTTCTTTTCTATCCAGAGTAATTTCTGTTATAAAAAAAATACTAAAACAAAAAGGAAATCCTGATTCCACTAATTATATGTAGTGCTGATCTATGATATTATTCGTTTAAACAAATTTTATTTTTTATAAAGATGTGTAGATTACTTGATTTTAATTTCAACACTATTTAAATAAATTGAATAATTTGAAATAAATTGAATATAAAAGATAAGGTATATTCTAGGTGTTATAAAGCATATTATTTTAAATTAACTTATTTAGGAACAAGGAGTTTGCAAATCAAGTTGGAATTCCCAGTGGTCCAACATTGTATTTTTAAATCATTTAATCTAAAAATTCATATTTCAGTTATGGACTCTTGGAAGAAAGGATTTTGTTCATATAAGATTTTATTTATGTAAAGGATTTTGTTTATATATAAAACAATTCGGTTATAAAAATAAATTAATAAAGAAACTAGAGACAAGTTAAACTTCGATACTATTTACAGTTAAACATTCTGCCTATAGATAACAGGAGCATCGTTGAAAACATGTTACCTCTTGTGAAGGTTATTCCCTAACTGATTAGGCTGATAATAATTTTTGCGGCATTAATTAGGTGCATGTTTTTTAATAGAAATAAATCCTTTCTCTCCTTTGTTCATCGATTAATTTTATCTAGAACAATGGTGAGATATCTTAACCAAGATGAAGCTATCAACATTGATGTTCAGCTTTTCAGTAAATACAGGTTTAGTGTTGACCAATTAATGGAACTGGCTGGCCTCAGTTGTGCAAATGCTATAGTAGAATGTTACCCTAACCAAAAAAAAGTTTTAGTTTGCTGTGGACCTGGTAATAATGGTGGTGATGGCCTAGTATGTGCCAGACATTTAAGACATTATGGTTATGAACCATCAATCTTTTACCCCAAGAGAACTGATAATCAACTTTACCAGAACCTAACTCATCAATGCCAGTCATTAGACATCCCATTTATTGAATCTTTAGATGAAGATATAATAAACAAGAGTTATGATCTAGTTGTCGATGCATTTTTTGGTTTTAGTTTCAAACCTCCGGTCAGAGATACATTTGTTCCTTTTATGAAAGCGTTGAGAAAAACCAAGAAACCTATTTGTAGTATAGACATTCCGAGTGGTTGGAATGTGGAAACTGGTAAGCCAACGGATGGCATTGAGCCTGAAATGTTAATATCATTAACGGCTCCCAAACGATGTGCACAGTCATTCAATGGAAAATTTCACTATTTAGGAGGAAGATTTGTACCTTTCCAACTTGCTGAAGAATTTAAGCTTCACTTACCTGATTTTCCAGGAACCAGTAATTTTGTCTCTTTAAAGTAAATCCTAATATATTTTTACTAAAATGTAAAAATGTAACCTTTTTATAATTTTGAATTGCAGTGTAATTTAATAATTTTATTACTGTTAGCTTATATGACAGGTATAATGTAAATAAATATTTTTTTTGTAATAGTTATTGTGATATATTAGTACTATGCTATATTACTATAGTAATGTCATATCTGGATGGTAAGTTGCCCATGATCACAGGATCACACTTTTCCTAGAATTATGAAGCAAATAAATTTAAAGAAAATGGAGGTTGTTGAGAAAGAAATGAATGTGTTAATATATTATATTTTTCTCCTTCAATTTCTGCTTTTTATTGATTTCTGCGTTTAGTAAGATTTAAGTTCGTATTTATTAAGTTGAGGTTTATTTTGGAAAAATTTGAGATTCAGCTCAAGTTTTTTTAAAAAAATGATGATAGTTTTTATGCCATCAAATAAAGGTTCCCCTATATCAGCAAAAATGACCACAAATTATTGTTGTAAAACTTTTATTTCTAGTTTTTCATGATCTAGGATGTATTTTAATAAATCCAATTCTCTAAATATACATTTTATTTATTAAAAAAATTAATTTGAAAAATACTGATTTTTCAAATATTTTAACAGCTACATCGGTTATGAATTGTGTTTTTCACCCAGGTCTCTATTTTAGGAATTGGTCCGTATTTATAAGTGACAACCTAAATATTCCTGATCCTAATTTTAAATTTTTCATTAAAATAATTGAAGCAGTCAGCAGGTTTTTTTAAATGTAAAGTTTAGGACTAAAAACTTTTATTTTTACAAATCACAAATACAAATCAATTCTTATAATAGAGATCTGGATGAAAAAAACAAAAAAAAAAAAAGTTTATTAGCAATTTATCTGAATAACCTTTGAAAAATCAATATTTTTCAAATTAATTGTTTTTATATCTAAAATGTGTGTTTAGGCAATTGGGTTTATTGCAATACATCCCAGAACATGGAAAAACAAGAAACAAAAGCTTGACAACAATTAATTGTGGTCATTTTAGCTTAAAACAGAGATGCTTTTACATGACAGGATAAAAAATATCATTTTGTTACTAAATTTGAGCTTAATCTCAAGTTTTTCCGTAATAAACCTCAACTTAATTAATACTTACTTAAAGATCATTAAACGAAGAAGTTTTTATAAAAGCGGGGTTACAGTAGTATAGTTGGAAGATGAAAAAAAAAAAAAATCATGAATAATTTATGATTTTTTTAAAAACAGAACTTATCTTAGTTTAGCCTTTCAAAAGGCCTCTGTAAATGATTTTAACATAGATAAACTCTATGTTCATTTAAAGTAAATTTGATCTTGTTTACAATGAAGTAATTATTAATTACTTAAATTAAATATTTCTGTAGTTATTGGTTTCGGTTCAATAAAAAACATGATACTTAAAAAAAACAACTTAGATTTCCTACTTTTCTGCTGAAAATTGGCCCGTCGTTTATCTTAAATTTTTTGTATTTCTATGAAAATTTCCCCCTACTTACTTACATCCTGTATATTGTTACTAAAGATATTATACAGGGTGTTCCGTAATTATAGGGAAATTTTTATTGGAGTGATAGCAGACCTTAAGAGATACAAGAAAGTTCATATAAACTATATGCAATTTTTCAGCAGAAAAGTAATAATAATATTATTTATTTATTTGTTTTCGGGGAATGTCCCATACAAATAGAGTTGGCTATAATGATAACAATGACCAAATTAATATCAAAAACATTTACAAATTATATACAAAGTAAAATTCATTAAGATTCAGTGACAACATTCTCTCCTGATAACAACCAAGCATCTGACTGTATGCCTAAATATAAACAATGAAATATAATATAATACCCCACATAATACAATAATTCAAAATAATACATCTGAATATAGCGAGCAATAAAATGACAAATAGTTATAAATAGCACTAGTAATAAAGATAAATACAGGCATGGTATACAATATATAACATATAAACATGTCGATAGTAAATAGTAAATGATACAATATGCATATAAATATGTTTCATGCATGTATAATAAATACCTGCAGAACAAAGTAAATAAACTTCAATGTTTTGGAAAAATATATATAATGTTATTATTCATTGAAAATAAAGGATCTCAATCTGCAACATTGTCTCGTGTAATAAAAGAGGTTCTTGAGGAAGACTTCATTATCAATTTTGAATAATTCGCCCTGGTCATGTTAATGGAATGAGGTAGGAAGTGTAGGCGGAAGTGAGCATAAATCGGGCACCGGACAAAAATATGAAAAAGGTCCTCCAATTCATTTAGGTTACAAAGCGTGCAAATTTCTTTTGGCTTGAAATAGTAATAACTATTATTAGACGTTAATTTAATATTATAATTTCCATATAACCTAATCTGTGTTAGTGTGTTCGTCATAATAATAATAGATAAGGCTGGTGCCTATCACTCGCTGTATACATATTGAGGTACATTGGGCTGTACCTAGTAGGGGTAATCAGTTTTTGTTTATCAAGTTCCTCTATATGGCTTTTAAATAGGCTTATTGTTTCATTTATCTCTAGCTGGAATGCACCTGCGTCCTCTAATTCCAAAATGAACTGTTTATTTACAGAACACAGCAGAGTGTGTAACTGATGAACCAATTCAAATTATGACTCCCTTTGCCACTAATATGTATTTCTTTTAATTTATTAAAACAAATTTTAGGCAATCTATCATTTTCCATTTTTTAAGACCCAAGACCAGTGCCAATTTCAGTATTGCAACTGAGCAATGAAGTATTTTATATTCCAATCTCATTAACCAGAAGGGACAATTTTTATTTAGAGAGAATAAACGTTTATAAAAGTTTAAGCTTATGCTTTCTAGCTTATCAATATCCCTGAGACCCCATAGTTGAACATTATAGTGAAGAATACTTATTGAAATTGAATCGTTTACTTTTATTCTGCTATCCCACGTTCTCAGCTTTGATTTATCACAAATTGAAATAACAAATCCTATTGCTGCCCTAGTCTTTGATTCAAAGTATTTAGTGGCTCTATAAAATAAGCCAAGAAGGAGTTGATCGGGGCTGCGGTTAAATTAATACTAAATTAAACAATTAGAATTATTTAATTTTTGCCATCGTTTCGACCCACTTTGCAGGTCTTCATCAGGGCTATAAAAGATACAAAACATGGTGAAAATACATGGAGATGGTGGATGTCACCTTGTTTGTATCTTCTACATATAATACTTGATATTTTAACTACATTGTCACCCACTATATCTCTGATATCATCTTTTTATTTCTGTATCAGACAACTTATTCTTATTTTATATCTGCTTATATTAATTTATATTATTTTCATCATGTTTTGTATCTTTTGTAGCCCTGATGAAGACCTGCAAAGTGGATCGAAACGTCGGCAAAGATTAAATAATTCTACTTGTTTAATTTAGTATTAATTTGACCGCACCCCCCGATCAACTCCTTCTCATATTATATCAATGGTCAACCATCTCTACATCATTATAAAATAAGCCAGTATCAGAGAATGGCACTCCTAAGTAAATGTACTCAGGGACCCTTTCAATTTCAGTATTCTCATAAAATAATCTTCCCACCCTCTTGCATCTTCCCTTGTGGAAATATAACAATTTAGTCTTATTTGTGTTCACCTCTAGCATTTTTACCGAGCAATATTCGTCCAGAATTTTTAATTTATTTTTAACATCTGTATAGCTGTCGGCCACAATTATTAAATCATCCGCATAAAGAAGTAAGAATATGTCACATAAACTATTGATCTTTATACCACCGACATTCCGACTCCGAAAAAATAACTCGATATCGTTCAAAAAAAGACTAAAAAGATAAGGTGATAGTACTTCTCCCTGTAAGAGACCCAAGGTGACATCCATTTCATCCGAGAACATACCATTACTCCTAATTCTAGCTGAGGGGTCGGATAAATATTTTTTAAGATTCTAATAATTTTGCTGCTAATACCCAGATTGTGAAGACACTGCCAAAGCAAATTGTGATTCAGTGAGTCAAAAGCTTGCCTAAAATCTACAAAAAAACAAAGAAACTCTTTCCACACAATCCCAGCTGTATCTGAATCAAGGTGTTCAAGACAAACAAATTATCCAGACAGCTTCTGCCTTTTCGAAAACCTGATTGTGCTTCAGGGAGAGCTTTTGTCTCGCCATGCCAGATAATCAACTTATCTAGAATTATTTGGGTAAATATTTTGATTATGCAATTGATGAAAGCACGATAATTTTAGGGTAGATTGCGGTCACCTTTTTTAAAGAGCATGGCGTATTCTATTTTTACCCAAGAGTTCGGTATATTCTCAGTCGAAAAGATCCTGTTATATAAATTCAATAGGTATAATTGCCAGTTGCAGCAGAAAAGTAGGAAATCATAGTTTTGTGGGTTTTAAGGAAGTCATGTCTTTTTTTGAATAGGGGGCGATAACTAAAGAAATATTTAATTTAAGTAATTAACAATGTCTTTATCGAAACTAGACAAAATTTACTTCAAATGCAAATATATTTTGTCATTGTTAAAACCATTTAAAGAGAACCTTTGAGTAGTTAAACTAAGCTAAGTATTCACAATTGTTTTTTATCATCATCCAATTATACTGCAGATACTCCACTTTTAGAAAAAATCTTTGTTTAATAAACTTTAAGTCTGTATTAATTAAGTTGAGGTTTGTGCAGACAAATTTGAATTAACATAAAATTGTGTAAGCAAATTATGTGATTTTTTATCCTGTCAAGTAAAAGTATCGTTGTTTAAAAAAAAAATGTCTACAATTAATATATTATACTAGAAGTGTAATAATAAATAAAAGTAATAAGCCTATATATTATACTTTTTATCAATAAAAAAATAAATATGAAAAATAATTATTTTTCCAGTAAAGTGTTTATGAAACTATTTTTTTTTTTTTTTTTAATGCAGATCTTTATTTTAGGAATTTGTCCTT